GGGGGGGGGGGTGGTGGAGCTCTGCCCCCAGGGTTTCTGGAAGGGCCATGACCATGGGAGGGTCAGAGAACTGGCACAAACAGTAATGATAAGAACTGTCCCTGCTGTGCCTTCTCTGTCCCTCCCTCCTCCTACCAAGGCCCCTAGAGGAAAGAGCTGCCTTAATAAAATGATGGCGACCGTGCCTTTTCTGTAAACTGTTACAACAGAGGTTTGAAAGTCAAGAACAAAAGCCACTGTTTTGAGGAGTGACTGTTAAAAACCCAACAAGGACACTTCCTGAACTTTGTCCCCCTTCCCCCAGTCAGTTAGCACAGCAGGACGCTTAATGGAGCGTGTCTGGGAGCAGGTTAAACTTTTTTCCGAGGCTTCATCGTTACCTTCAGGGGAGCACGAAGGTTTTGCTGAAACGCCAGCACCACTTGCAGATAGGAAGGCCGCAAGGTTAGTCGAACGAAACTAGTGACTGATCTGGACAGATGTCCCCAGTATTTCCGTGGGAGGAATTCTGAGTATTTTCTGGGGGGAGGGCATCTGTTTCGGAGAGCACGCCCTTCCTGGGGCTGGTGCGTGGAGCCCACTGAGGCTGCCCGGGCTAGCGCCCGCAGGTCACAGAAACAAACAGTCACCGTCCCACAGAGGGGCCATGACCTGGACAGTGAAGACCCTGGGCAATGTTGGCCACATGGGAGCCCCTCGCCGGTGGCTCTGAACCCTGCTTCCTTGTAACTGGTGACATCATTGCTAGCGTGTGGCACAGCTGTCCAGGTGCACTTGATTTTCAAGTGAGTTCGTCCCAGCCTGTGAGTTTATAAGTACTCTGAAAGTGGGTAGCATAGATTTGTGTGCTTCCGGGCAAAGTTGGGTCCCTTGTGGTAGCAAATTTGAGCTGATGGGGCAAGTCTGTGAGCTTGTCCCATGTCTTTAGACTGCCCCCCGCCCCGAGGTGAGCTCTGCCTGCTTCTCTGAAAAGACAGATGCTTACCTTGCTACTCTGGAAAACTGCCTGGCTTGCTGGGATTTTTTTCAGGGCATTCTTGAATCATAAAAGTTGACCCTCAGGGGGTGAGGAGGGAGGTGTAGAACACGCAGCTCCTGTGCCCTGGGGCTCTGACTGCCAGGTGAGAGGCTATTTGCAGCTCAGCACCCCCAGCTGGTGCCTGACACTCCAGGACCCGACCTCCTCTTATTTATAATTTGGAGTGTAAGTGCAGACATGAAGCCTTCAGTGAAATGGGAAACAGGGCTCATCTCTTTGACTCTCCTTCTGTGTCGGAGGAATGGCTTTGCTTGAGGAACAAGGAGTGGAGGGTGGAGGGGAACATTCACCCTGCCCTGCCCTACCCTACCTGTTTAAAAGGTGAGTGAGTTCCCTAGAGCAGAGTTCCATGCCCAGCCTGCGGCAGGCCGCTTTGTGACGCCTTTGCCTCCTTGTTTCTGTGTCCGTGGACAGGGACTTGCACCCACAACTGTCCTGGCCAAGCCCCAGGGAGGGTTTAGGCCACAGCCCCAGCCTCACTTGTGCGATTCGGGTGGGCTCCTTGCACACAGAAGAGACAAGCCCGAGTGCCTGGACCCTCCTTCCCTTCCTGGGGGTCCTCAGCTCACGCTGAGCTGCCCATTGAGGGCTCGGGGTCCATGTGGGCCAGAGAGGAGCATTGTGGGGAAAGGGCGCTCAGCCCCCTGGCACACGCTAAGCTGCCCATCGAGGGCATGGAGTCAATGAGGGCCAGAGAGGAGCGTCATGCTTTTCAGAGGTGCTGGTTCGTTGTTTTTTTTAAAAGCTGACCTCAGGAGTTAAGTCCTGTTTCCTGTTCCGTCTAGGAAATCATCTCAGGGTCCCCAGTCAGTGTCTGGGGGCCCCTTGATGGACCTGTTTGGTGGGGATTGGAGGGTGTGGGTCTTGCTGGCTTCCCAGGTGTGAGGACTAAGTAGTCAAGGTGAGCAGGGCTGCATGGGACTGTTTTGCAGATGAGGAAGTGTTTTCTTTTAGGAGTTTTCGTCTGGATACTAATAGCCAACACTGGTCTTTGTTGTTTGAAGTCTAGGGGGTGGGGGAGGTCTTCCTCCCGCCATTGGGTGATTCTCGGGCAGCCCCCCCTTTGTGAGTGTGCGGTGTCACCTGGGCAGTAAACCAGCAGCCACCCCTCAGCAGAAGCCAGGAATTGGCTGTGAATTTTGTGCCTGCTCTGTTGTGCCTACCCTGCGGGCCAGCCCCGACTTTGAGGAGCCTGCCTAGCTCACCCTGCCCGTCTCTGCCCATGCTGCCCATCCGTGGAGCAAAGAGCCAGTCCTGAGCCTGGCAGAAAGTGGTACCTGCTCATTGATGGTGATGTTAAACAGTATTAGAGGCCATGCCTCTGAAAAGGATTTCCTGGTTTCAGGTTTTGAAGTGAGTGCTTTTTAGGAGTTCCTTAGTTGCCTTAGATTCCAAGGAAGTTTTGATTTTCCTTTGGAAACATAGGTAACGAGGTAACGTCAATGAGTGCCTGCTCTCACATCATTCTGTTTCATTCTGGCCTTACAGACATTGGGCAGGGATTCTGCCTCCCCAGGGACTCGCGGGCCCCACAGTCCTCCAAGTTTCTGTACCTGCCTGTGTGGTCTCTTAATCCCAGTCCCACTTGACAGGACTCAGAGTGGTTGGGACCCCAGTGCAGGGGCATTGGGCTGGTGGATGGGCTGGCCACGGATGGACCCTGGTCTGTCATTGGCGTGCTCGGCTCTTGCCAGCTCGACCTGGGCCCTTCACGCCTCTTCGATGGGACAAGGCACCCCGGGAATGCAGCCAGGAGAGGCCCTCAAAGCTAGCGGAGGGTGGGGGGCTTTTTGTTACCAGGCACATCTGAGCACACTGTCCCCTTGTGACACCAGAGCAACTGGACAGAATGCACTTTCTTCCAACTCCTTTTCTCGAATCTCACTTGTTTGCAAGTGGTTAACCTCAGATTCTTTTGAGCCTGAAATGTTGGCTCCTTTCCCTAGCCAGTGCACTTGCATTGGAATTACAACTGAGGTTATAAATTGAAAATGGCCTGTTGAATAGTTCTTTGGATTTAAGTCATTTGCGCTGCCGGACCCTGTGCTGGGTGCTGGGTCCATAAGAGTGGAAATAAAGGTAGGTTCTGTGGAAAGATCTTTAACCAGTGAACACAGTGGGTTGGTTAAATAATTGATGGGTTAGAATTTTGAGGTTAGACCACGTACTTGAATTTCAAAGCAGTAACCTGAACATACATAACACATATTGATGGTGACTTTTTAATTGAAAAACGTATGTTCTTATACTGTTCTTTGGATAGAAATAATTTCAGTGCTGGTAGCCATATGGGTGGTTCCACTCACATTTAATCCTGTGGTGTTGGATACCTCCTGTTTTGGGTAACCTCTACAACTAACTTTCAAAATTGCTTTAGTACTTACTCTGCTTTGGAACATGTGCTATGTTTCAGTTTTCAAAAATATTGGATTGTTTTGTAAGCTAACGTTTCTGCTCAGAGGTGCTTTGGGGGCCCTGCCTGAGGCTGCCTCTCCACGCTGTCTCTTCGATGCCTGCAGCAGAGCACTGTGTGGAGCGTCGGGGTTTACTGACATGTGACCACTTCAGGGTGTGGGACTGACCCTTGGCGCTCTCTCCTAGGCCAACGAGGTGACAGACAGCGCATACATGGGTTCCGAGAGCACCTACAGTGAGTGTGAGACCTTCACCGACGAGGACACAAGCACCCTGGTGCACCCTGAGCTGCAAGCCGAAGGGGATGCCGACAGCGCCGGTGGCTCAGCTGTGCCCTCCGAGTGCCTGGACGCCATGGAGGAGCCTGGCCACGGCGCCTTGCTACTGCTCCCAGGGAGGTCAGTACCCTGCCCCTGCACAGCACGAGCATTGGTTGCAAGACACCAACCGAGTGGCTGTGCCCGAAGGGCAGATTGGGTTTGTGGACGGGTTGGTGTCAGAGAGCTATGCAGTCATTGTGGGATGAGCCCATGCTCGGTGTGGCCCTGAGCCGGCTCCCAGCCCCCACGGACCTCCCTGCCTGGAGGTGCTCCTCCTGCTGGCCGCAGATGACCCTGGCTAGACCTGTTGCACAACTTCCTTGGCTGTAGAGAGAAACCTGATCCTGGATTTCTCACCGAAGTTCTTAGAAACCAGGGCAGGACACCATATTCAGGGCACATCTCCCAGCAGGATCTTAGAACCCACTTGTCTTTATTGCACCCCTGCCCAGATCTGTTTTCCGCCCTCCCCGCCCCTGCTCCAGGCTTCCCCCTGTGATTGAAGACCAGCGAGGGGAGAGGGCAGGGTCTGACAGGTTCTGGGTGGCAGTTTGCCTCTGCTGCGTGGGAAGCCATCATACTTAGCTGCTTTGGAAGTGGTTTGGTTTTATTTTGTTTTGCCTGTTTTATTTGATTTCACTTTTTGTTTGGCCCTCACAGAGTTTTTGTTTTTTTTCTCTTTAACTGAAGTATGGCATACTGGCCTGTGAGTGCAGCCGTCATAGGTATACGGACCCGCCAGCAGCCTCACAGGCGCCCTCTGCCTGGCGCTTAGGAAGAGTAACTACCCAGTGGCGCCTGGGTGGCTCATTCTTGATTTCTGCTCAGGTCTTACTCTCACAGTCCATGGGGTCAAGCCCCGCATTGGGCTCCATGCTGACCGTGCAGAGCCTGCTGGGGATTTTCTCTCTCCCTCTCTCTCTTCCCCTCTCCTACTCATGTGTGCACACACTCTCTCTCAAAATAAATAAATAAACTTAAAAAAGTAACCACACAGGATTGTAGCCTTGTTACACCTGGCTGCTTTTGCTTCATGTTGTGGCTGTTGCGGTTCATCCAAATTTTTGTATAGTTGTCAGTTACTTGTTTTCATTATTACTAGAGTTTTCCGCTGTATGAATGTGCTGCAGCTTTTTATTTTAATTCATTGTTGGTGGCCATTTGGGTCGGGTTTACAGCTTTGGTTCTGTGAGCAAAGTTCCTATAAACACCACGTGTCTCGTGGCCTGTTTGTACCCAGGAGTGGGACAGTGCTGCATGTGCGTGTTGGGCTGTGAGGCTGCCCCACCAACTGCAGTCCTCACAGGTACGGATGGGGCTTCTCGTAGTTGCTTGCCTGCCAGCCCCCTGCGGGGCTCTGGTCACTCCCCGTCCTCCACAGCGCCTGGGCTGCGCTGCTTTCTCATGTTCCTTCTCCAGAGGGCATGGAGCTCAGTGTTGGTGTGGGATATTCTTAGTCGCGTTTCCTTGGTGAGTGCCTTTTCTTGCGTTTAATGCCCATTTGGTGAAGATCCTTTTTTGTGAAGTGCTCGTTCAAGTCTTTTGCCCCACTTATTTATTGCAGGGATCTGCAAACTTTTTCTGTAAAAGGCCAGATAATAAATACTTTCTGGTTTGCAAGCTGTATAGTCTCAGCAGCCAAGTTCTGCTGTGAAGTGGAAAGTGGCACAGCTCGTGTCTGTGTCCCATTCCTACTTTCCCGAAACAGGCCATGGATGGGATTTGGCTTCTCCTGATCTGTTGGGTTGTCTTTTTCTTACTGATTTGTAGGAATTCTGTATATATTTTAGATATGAGTGCTTTCTCTGGGATATGTATAACAGGGATGTGTTTCCTACTCTGTAGGTTGCCTTTGCACTTTCCTGCTAGTGTCTTTGAGGAACATGTGTTTTTAATCTTACTGTGGCCCGGTTCATCCATTCCTATTTTGTGGCTAGCACCTCTGTATTGTTCTAAAAACCTTTGCTTACTGAGGCGCCTGGTGGTTCAGTCAGTTAAGTGTCTGACTTTGGCTCGGGTCATGATCTCATGGTTCCTGGATTTAAGCTCCACGTTGGGTTCTTGCTGACAGCTCGGAGCCTGGAGCCTGCTTTGGAGTCTGTGTCTCCCTCTCTGCCCCTCCCCCATTCGTGCTCGTTCTCTGTCTCTCTCTCAAAACAAACATTTAAAAAAAAAAAAGAAATCTTTGCTTATTTCACACAACTATGATGTTTACTTTGTTTCACCTCTGTGTTCAGATCTGTAATCTCCCCATAACTGACTTTTTGTGTGTGGTGTGAGATAGGGGTCATCTCCCAAATGGGTATCCATTCAATTCAGCCTCAGTTTTGAAAAGATTCCTCCTTCCCTCACTGTCTGGTGTCACCTTGGTCCTGCGAGGTGAGGTGGCTGAGTGTGTGGAGCTGTGTTTGGACTGTGCACTCTGTTCTGTCCATTCTCAGATCAGTACCACATAGTCTTGGACTTCAGCGTGTTGTAGATTGTACTGTCTGTGTAAGTCCTCCAGCCTTGTTCTTCAAGGCTGCAAGGCTGTGTTGGTGCCTTTTGGCCCTTTGGCCTTTCCATGTGGGTTTTAGAATCAGCTTGTTGGTTTCAGGACAGAGGCATTCGCTGGGATTTGGGTTAGGGTTGTGTTCATTATAGATGAATTTGGGGAGAATCAACATCTTCACATTGTCAGATCTTCAGTCTTTGAATATAGTATCTCTGTCCACGTATCTGAATTTCAATGCATTTATGTATATGCCTCAGGATGATGAGAAGTGAGATCATCCCCATCTCCGTTTACTCAGGTTTCCTTGTTCCTGAAAGCGAGGGTGTGTAAGACCACGGGATTTGTCCTGAGTGGCTTCAGGACTGCTCTGTGGGCACGTGCATTTCTGGGTGGGCAGTGGGCGCGTGCTCCGAGGGTTGAGCAGCCGTGATGGTCTTGGGGGCGTGCACAGGGACCCATTTCTGTCCCTGACTCTGCCTGTGAGACCCTCACTTGGTTCCCCGAGGCCCCTTTCCCCTTTGGAAAGGGGCAGCTCTTAGATTCGTGTGCCCGTTAGTGGTGATGAGCTTAATCCAGCCCTGGTGGAGGTGCTGGTGGAGCCACAGCTGTTTCCTGTCGTCCCTGGTGAAGCGCTGGGCCTCCCAGCACTGGCTCCGCTTCTGCCAGCCTCCGGCGGTGCCGGGGCACCTAGTGCTCTGGAAGCTCTGGAAAGCGGGTGTGCAGGAGTGACCTCTCTCTCAGAAGGATGGGTGCTAGCAAACCCTTCACCTTCCCTGCTTGGAATCCTGCTGTTCTGAACTCCACATCCCAGCAGACGTCTGCACGCACACTCTCCAGCAGTTGTGTGAAGACAGCAGCTGCTGGTAGGGGCACAGGTGCATTTGCAGGAGACGCGCTGAAGTGTACGGTGAACTCCCGGTTTCGAATACTTGTTACAGAATAAAGAATAAAGAGTCTTGCTTCTGAAATGATGATATTTGGGATATGTTAAAATATATTGTTAAAATCAATCTCACCTGTTCATTTATTTCTTTCTAATGTGGCTACTACAATGTTTGAACCCAAGCCTGTGGCTAGTAGCACATCTCTGCTGGAAGGTGCCATCACAACATCGGTTCTGGAGCCACCAGTCACAGTGCGCTGCTTTTGTGTTGCCTTTGCAGATCCCACCTGCACAGCCAGTCCGTCGTCACGGTGATAGGTGGCGAGGAGCATTTTGAGGACTATGGTGAGGGCAGTGAGGCAGAGCTGTCCCTGGAGACCCTCTGCAATGGGGAGCATGACTGCAGAGACCCCGCTTTCCTCACCCCCAGGTAATGCAGCCCTGCACTGCCCTGGCATGTGTGTGTGCGTGCACGCGTGTGAGGAAACGTGTGCATGTATGTATGTCAGAGAACATGTGTGCATGTATGCACATATGTGGGAGAACATGAATGTGTGACTATCCGTATGAACACATGAGAGACCATGTGTGTGTTTCCGTGCACACATGTGTGAGACCACGTGTGCGTGTGTGAGAGAACATGTATGCGTGTATCGGCATACACGTGTGAGAGAGCATGTATGTGTGTGTCCATGTGTACACACGTGCGGAAGACCATCGCGTGTACATGTGTGGGAACATGCACATGTATGTACACATGTGAGAGAGACCACATGTACATCATATACCTGTGTGCACGTGTGAGAGAACGTGTGTGTGTGTGCGTGTGAGAGAAAACACCTGTGTGTCCACGTGTACATGTGTGTGAGAACATACGTGTATGTATCCGTGCGTACACGTGTGTGTGAGAGAGAACATTTACAGTCTACTCAGCGATTTCAAGTACATGATACCGTGTAGTTACCATGTTCTATGTTCGAGCCTTAGACCTTACTCCTCTTGCAGCTGCACGTTTGTACCCTTTGATCAGCCTCTGCGGGGGCTTTAACATCGCAAGTGATTCTTTGGATTCATGCCCAAATTGTCTGGAACGTTCTGCATGAGTAGGCCGAGGTGCTAGGTCTAAAGGGTGAGACCTTCGCTCATGGAGTAGAGCCTCTCCAGCCCACCTTTCTCTTAGGGCTCCGCGTGTGTCCAAACAAGGGGCCTCTGGGCCTGCTGGTGACTGGCCCATCTGAGGACGTGCCTGCCTGTGCCGGCGAGGTCCCGCCTGGCTCAGAGGCTGCTCTGCGCCAGTCGCGGATCCGCTTGGCGCCAGGTTCCTCAAACCCTCTCTATTTGCCGACAGCGGAAGCCGAGTATCTCTGAACCTGCAACCGTGAGGCCCTTCTTTTGCCGAGACCGTTGCCCTGGCCCAGAGGACCTGCGGCCCGGGAGAGGGCCTCTGTGCCGAGCCTCTGGGAGTTGGTGTGAGCGAAATATGTGCGTGGTTTTAGCAGCTTTTCTTTCCACGTGCGTGTTCGTGGTGGTGTGAGGCAGAGGCCAAGGACTGGACGCTGCTAACCCCGTGTCTGTCTAGTTGGGGAGTCTTTCTGGTCTGCTCGTCTGTGCCTCCCAGCCAGCCTTTTCACTATTTTCTGTCTCAGGTGTAACTTCTGCGCTACCGCTAATATTTCCCTTCAACCTGTCTTCACGTGGAACTTCCAAACCAGCTTCCAAAAGCCAGCAGGTCCTAATGTCTCAAGGACATCACTGCCTTCCTGCTTTCATCTTCCTGTAGTGGGTGTCCCGCCAGTGCTGTGAAAGTCCATTTAAATTAGATCACAGGGAGGAAAACAGAATCTTAAGTTATTTTATTTAGCCAATTAATTTATTTTTGAGAAAGAGAGTGGGTGCATGTACAGGGCGGGAGCACAGAGAGAGGGAGAGAGAACCCCAAGCAGTCTCCGTGCTCAGCACAGAGCCCGACGCTCAGTCTTAGGGCCGTGGCATCATGACCTGAGCCAAAGTCAAGACTCAGACGCTCAACCTACTGGAGCTACCTAGGTGCCCCTGAATCCTGAGTTTTTAATGAAGGCCTTAAAAATGACAGAATTGTTGGTGATCATCATCCATGCATAATTCTGACACTGGTGGGCTTTAGAGCAGCGAGTAAAGGAGCTGCAGTACAGTAAGTTAAGCCCCACCTGGAGACGTGTGCTTTGCTCTCACACTGGTGTGTTTTTGACAAAGGACCAGGCAGCAGCATCTCCAGTCATTTCGCTTCTTGTTAAAGAAGAGTTTGTGTTTTACAATGAAGCCCATGGGCTACCTATTTCCTCTGAGCACCTGACCAGGAAGGAGCAGATGTGTGGCCAGCTGGTGTGTGTCACCACCGGTCCTAGAGGTGACGCTTGAGGGAGGTGGGCTCACAGCAGTCTAAAAGCAAGAGCCAGAATGTTCCATAGCCTGACACAGTGCTTTTGTCCAGCCCCTCTGTGGGGTCACAGATAACCTGACGGGTCCTCGCTGTCTTCTGAACTGACACTTCTCGTCTTTCTAGCACTGATCCGCTTGCCGCAAAGCTGCACAGCATCCTCACTGATGAGGCTTTTGAGTTTTACTGTAGCCAGTGCCACAAACAAATCAACCGCCTTGAGGATCTTTCTGCTCGCCTGAACGATCTTGAAAAGAATAGGTAACTGACTAGTGCCTGGCCTTGCTCTGTTCAAGTGGGAGGGAGACTGCAGTTACCCACAGCTCCTGCCAGTGGGTCTGGCTGGAGGCGCTGCTCTCTCGGCTGGGCTGAACCGCAGCCCAGAGGCAGGACCCCTCCCCTGCCCCCACCCCCACCCCAACCCTGCATGTGCTGAGCGTCTGCCCTCCTCGCCCTGTGCATGTGCCACCCTGGGTGTGTGCTGCAGCCTGAGCCACTGCTTCTGTTCCCAGGGGAGGAGACTCCCTTCCCATGCTGTGTGTCCTGGGAGAGGGAACCCAACTTAGGAAAGAGAGTCTGCACCCGGAAAGAGATACATGTTTCATTTTACTAAAAGGTTTCTTTAACTGGGAGTCACATGAAAGAGCTTTGGGAAATTTAAAGTGAGATTTGGTCTTTAAAAAAAACAAATTCGTAACAGCTTTCAGGAGTATATGTTTACATCCAGTGAGCTCTTCCTTGAACTTATTATTTTCTGTTGTTGGGTTTTTTTTCCCTCTATATGTTGTTTCTTTAAAGTTTTTTTATTTTTTTAAATATATTTTTTAAAATGTTTGTTAGTTTATTGTGAGAGAGAGTGAGCACATGCACTCAAGCAGGAGAGAGGCAGAGAGAGGGGGAGAGAGAATCCCAAGCAGGCTCCACACTGCCAGCACAGAGCCCGTGTGGGGCTTGAACCCACAAACCATGAGATCATGACCTGAGCTGAAGTCACGAGTCAGATGCTGAACCGACCGAGCCACCCAAGTGCCCTTAAGATTTTTATTTTTAAGTAATCTCTACACTCAGGGTGCCAACTTTGCTACCCTGTTTTTAAAATAAGCAACCGGGACCCAGCATGTGCCTGCTGCTCCCTGGCCTTGGTCATCCCCAGTCTGTCCCTCCTCCCCGTCTCCCAGTTCTGGTTTGTGTCAGAGTGTTAGCCTCCCTCTCAGCCATCTGTACCCAGCCCTACTCAGGTTGGAGCTCCAGAAGGAGACCGTTCCTTTTGCTGGATCCCCACAACTTCACACCCTCCAGTTAAAGAAAACATGTTTGAGTAGCTTGCCCATATTGACGTCCATGGAGCATATTGTTGATTTAGGCCCCAGGCCAGCAGAGTTGGTGAGTGACCCACAAAGAGCTCTCACACTGGGCAGGAAGGGATGGTTTGTGCTGGTCAGTGGTGTGGGCTCCCAGGCAGCAATCTCAAGTGGCTGTCTGAAAAAGAGGGGACATGGCTGGTGGGAGGTTACATAGAATGTGGCAGAAGGGCAAGCCATCCTGACAGCTTCAGCCACTGAGATGAAGTCTTTTTTTTTTTTTTTTTCAACGTTTTTTATATTTTTTTTTTTTTTTAACGTTTATTTATTTTTTTAGACAAGAGACAGAGCATGAATGGGGGGGGCGAGGCAGAGAGAGAGGGACAGAAATCAGTAACAGGGGCTCCAGGCTCTGAGCATCAGCCCAGAGCCCCTATGCGCTGCTCAACTCACGGACCAGCAGATCGCGGACCTGGCTGAAGCTCGAGACGCCAACTGAATCGATCCAAGGCACCATGGCTCTTCAACATGCTTTTTTTTAACATTATTTTAACATAGGAGAGAAAGAGCATGCAATGGGAGGGCAGAGTGAGTGAATCACAGAATCGAAGCAGGCTTCCAGGCTCTGAGCCATCAGCCCAGAGCCTGACGCAGGCTTGAACTCACGGACCCATGGCAGATCATGAATTGGAGCCATGTCGACACTTAACCGACTGAGCCACCCAGGCGCCCCTGGAGTAGTCTTCTAAAAATTCCTCCTCTGTCTTGAGGAGCCTGCCCCCTTAGGGCCTCAGCCCAGGGCAGCTCGGTCTTCCTGGTGGGTCCCCGTGGCTGAGAGCCCTGCTGTGCTCCCGACCGGCCTCCAGTTCCAGCTCAGGACATCTGATGTCTTCACCCCTTTTTCTTACGTTCTGTGCAGTACTCACCACACAGACTGCAATCCAGCAAATGCCCAGTTGGGTGGAGAAGATTCTTTGTGGCCAGTCGGAAGCCTCAGAGGGGAGTCTGGGAGGAGGTCCCAGCATTACCGATGAGAACCTAGCCTTCCAGGGAGACTTGGGGGAACTGTGGCAACTAGGGATTTCAAAGACCCACTGGGCTCTTCCGTAGGGAAAACTAGTCTTCTTTTCTTGTATGTGGTTAGCTGGGTGTTCAGTGCTCCGGGAAGGTCCCTCCACCCGACTGGTGTGGGGTCACCTGTCTTTCCCAAATGGAGACTGCTGTCCTGCTAAGTGGGTTTGAGTACAGGAATGCCATCTCTGTTCTTGAGAGTAAGCATGAAGACGTGTCTCATCTCTCATTTCTCAAGACTTTTGATGCAGAAGTGATCTTTTGCCGTGTTGAGAACCTGCCGCATAACGGCCAGGGTCGCCTCTCTTAGGGTCCACTTTTGAGAGGGGGAGTCTGGGATGTGGCTAAGTGTGGCCGGCAAGTCCAGTGGGGCCTTCTGTCCAGTCTGAGCCATTCCCTGAGAAAGACCCTACCACGGTGGGTTCATGTGCCATTAAAATTGTTATTCTCATCAAGACGCAACTGTCAGGAAAGTTGTCCTGAACACTGAAGTTAAGGAGATCTAAATCTTGCTTGTTGGTTTCCAAGAAATTGTCTCAAAATAAATGTATTTGGTTATGGTTTGTGGATGGTGAAAGGTGATTTAGTCCCAACTGTGTTTGGAAGCTTTGATGTCATTTATATTTTCTACCCAGTGAACCTCGGAATGTGCCCACAGTGATCATACTTTCCAGGTACTTACAGCCTGTATGAAAACAATTCATTTTGTAGAAATTAGGAAGAATACTAAGAAGAAGTTAAGAGTAATAAGGTCTGTTTACAAATTATAAACCTCAAAACTGGACTGGCAGTGCAGCCCCTGAATAAGTAAACCGAGTCTGTCTTGTCCCATCAGCCTCAGGGAGTCCCCAGGATATTAGGGTGACATACGTGGTGTGAGTCGGGGCCCTGCCAGGAGAGGGGACACACAGGAGTGGGCGTGAGGAGTGTGATGAGTGAGTAGCCCCAAAGGGACGGAGCGATGAGGGCCCCGCGGGAACAGCAGCTGTGAAGAGGCCAGGCGGCGGGTGTCAGCCTGACAGCACACCAGTGGAATTTGCTGGGAATTTACCTTCTAGAAGTTGATGGAAATCTGCCCTCCGGCCTGTACCGGAGGCGCTCCATGACAGAACTGCCCGGGGAGGCGCTGGCCCCTGGGGAAGCTGTCAGGCAGGATCTGGGGTGAGCCCCACCAGTGTCTCTCAGAAGCTAGGTGTAGCCGAGGACACATGGGGACCCTCCCACGAGGGCCCTCTCCAGCACCCTCTGCTGGCAGAGCACGGCAAAGGAAGACTGGGAAAACCGCCCCGATCCTTTTCCACAGAATAAGTGGGGAGGAAGAGTCTGGAAGTGGGCGGCCGTAAATTGGTAACTGACACAGTGTAGGTTTTTCTGCCCGAACTCTGCGGGAATCGCAGGTGTGTCTCAGATGAGCAAGCTGAAGGGAGACGCCATGGGTCTGGTTCCTGGTGTGGGAGACGAGGGTTGTCCTTGTGTTGGAAGAGGGCGTGTGTCTTCTCGTGGGCTGAGGCCGGTAGCTTAGCAGTTACATTTGAAAATAAAACTCGGACTTCAGAAATGAGAGGTAAGGTAAGTTTGGCCTTTTTTGCCACCTCAGAGGATTCTGTCAGCCGGACGATGGGTCCCAAGGCGGCAATGGAAAGGGCTTCCAGATCACTGCCCAGGCGCATGAGGTTTCAGTGCCTGAGTTAAAGTTCGAGTCCGAACTTTCCTGTCACAAACAGGCTTACGTCACATTTCATGTGGGGCCTCTGACGGCCAAGTGATTGGAGGGTAAGCGTTTGGCACGTGGCACTCGTGCAGCCCACCGGTGGGTGTGGTGCTGGGCTCGGCCTCGGAGCTAAGGTCTGGTCGCGGCTCCATCTGGGACCTCTGGGAGTGGGAAAACGTGACTTGGCGAGGCCCTGGGACTGTCCCCTGTGTCCCTGAATGTTTTGCTGAGCAGGCCTTTCTGTGTATGGCGCTGGTCTCGGCGGGTGCTGCATGCTTGTGAACATGCCCCATCCCCGTATCTCTTCAGCCTGAATTTCCTGTTTCCTCCCCTTCCTCCCTGTTCTCTGACACGATTTTCCTGTTTATTTTGATTTTGCACAGTCCAGCGAAGCGGCTCTCCAGCAGGAAGGTGGCAAGGTAGGAGACCCTTGGTTATTTACGGAGATGTTCAGAAATGTATCATTAATCATAGCTCTTTAAAACGTGTTTAGAAAATAGTATCTTCCAAGATAAGTTTTTAAAACTTTTGGAAGTCACCTCTCATGGTTTGGGACTGAACATAATTCTTGGGGATGGGTTGTGAAACCAGTTTCCACCGCCACGCCACGATCAGACCCTGGTTTGTGACAGGGAGGTTTGTGCTGAAAGCTTCCGGCATTGTGCCCATCTTACCAAGTCTTCGCAGAAATGTCCTCAGGCGGCCCTTGGCATCCCCACATGTCATGTCTGCTGTAAGGTAGCCCACGGTGTTATCCGCGAGGGTCATGGCGGAGTCCTGGTCCGGGTCGGCCTCCTTCAGATGCTCTGCCCTTCACGCCCACGCTGGCTCTCCAAGGTGAGAAGAGGGTGGAGGCGAGCCAAATGCCGAGTTTCTGAAGAACACACTCTTGTGGCCATTTCTCCACCTCCCAGCTTTGGGTCTGCCTGTCGGCTTCCTGCGTAAGAGGTGGCAGCACGCACAAGTACCCTGTGCCCCCCAGGGCTGGCTCACCAGTTTTCACCGGGCTTGTCTGATGCCAGCGTTTCTCACAGGAAGCCATGGAATGCTCATTTACTTCCTTTCTCCGACAAGTCGCCGCTTCTGGACTCAGTGATGGCTGTGATATTGCCACTTGCCTCACCTTCTCGCCGCACCCCTGCCTCCCCTGCCCAGCTAGGGCCTCTGCCCTCTGCATGGGCACCACGGCTGTGGGCAGTAGCACTGTGGTCCCCAGCCTGCGCTAAGTGTGTGTTTCAGGGCTGGGGTCATGCTGCTCCCTGAACCCGTCTCCCTTCTTTTATCTACATGTTTTTTGTTCAGCATATCTTGTAGCTTCTTGAGAAAAGAGGTGTCCAGGAGATACATTTTTGAGACCTTGCTGGATACTTGACTCCCGTGTGTGACTTCATACAGAATTTGAGGTTGGGAGCCCCTCCTCTGAGGAGCTGTGCACACACCATGCAGTACCTCCCAGCGCTAGGGCTGCTGCCAGGGCCCTGAGGCTTTCACGTTTTCTTCGCAGCTTTCTCCCTGGAAGCTGAATTTTCAGGTGTTTTCTCTATCCCTGAAGTTTAGAAACTTTGTGATAAGTCTCATGAGTCCTTCCTATTAATTATGCTGGACAGAATGATAGACCGTTTAGGTCTGGGAGTCTCCACCCCTTGGTCCCGTGGACCTTTCTTAGGCTGTTGGATAGCTTCATCCATCCCCCATCCTCCCTCTGGAACCTCCTTGCTGCCCTGTGTGCCTCTGCTCTGGTTCCTCCTGTGACAGCCACAGCGTTTTCTCCGTGTCTCTTCCCCACGTCCTGGTCCGGGCCATCTTTCTAGAGACTTTTCCCTCACAACTGGGGCTGCTGCTGTCCGTGCTGCTGTGGTTGCTTACAGCTGGCAGGTGGCCTCTGGCCCACGTGTGGTGTGGATAGGCCTCGGGCCGGCTGGTGTCCCGGAAGGGGATCTGTGTTGGGCCCGTGTGTGCGGCTCTCCTCCTCTGTAAGGGTGTGGTTTGGAGCCACTCCTGTGTGGTCTCAGGTGCTGGGCCTCCCTGGGTTCTCCAGAGCGACGGGCTGGCTGCCAGCGCCTCCCTGGCCGGCCGCAGCCCTCCTACCCACTTCCAGCGTGGGCACCTTTTCTCTGGTACGGCCTAGTCTCTTCTTTGCCCTTGGTGTGGGAACCTCCTGTGTTTCTTTTTCTAGTGTCTTAGGGGTTTAGTGGAAGCAGAGGTGAAGGTTGTCAACCCTTTTCTGCACTTGTTCTCACCAACCCCCTTGTAGAGGAGCATCGAGACTCCAGGGAACATAACGTGTAGTCCAAACTACACGTTTGTTACAAGTTTGACATTGCTTTCCTCCTCCCCACCATGTTCCACCCCAGACGGCCTACAGATGGTGACAGGAAAGAAGGTAAAAGCTCTCCCCCCAGCCTCCTGCATCCAGGATGTGGACAGGCCCTGGGGTCCCTGGGCCCGTGCTACCTCAGCTCTTAGTCTCTCTCTGCCTGCTCCTTTGAAATACCCTCTGAGAATTTGATCTTTCCTTCACAGATACCATTTGGTATGAAAAGGTCTAGTCTGCGACTGTTTATAGTTTGGTTCACAAACAGCATATTTACAGTCTACACACGCAGACGCACACACGCACACACAATTTTAATCTGCCATTTTACGCTTCAAACCACCACTAGAATTCAAAGGAAAACTCAGACGCAGGTGCTTTCGCTGTTCACATTGTCTCAACCCTTTGCATGTGGCACTGGACCGTGTGGTTTGGAACCTCCAGCTCTGGCCTCTGAGACCTGGCTGTGTGCCTGGCCTAGATGGAAGTGGTTCTGGGGTCAGTGTGCGTACAAGGACCCGGAGGAACCCGCACACAGCACAGCCGACCTCAGGACGGGGCAGCACCAGCGGGATGGCCATAGGGCTGACGGCTGCCATGCACAGAAGGCACCCTTGGGGTGCATCAGGCATCTCCCACAGCCCCCTCTCCTGGTGGGTCTCCTGCGTGGTGGTGGATTTAGATAAACAAGGCCTAAAGGGGCCACACGGTGAGGCCACATATTAGGAACCCATGTTGGGGCCAAAGCCATGGAGAGGTATTTAAACACAGCAGTTGGACAAAAACAGCATGGCCCTTTGGGTTTAGCACCCTTCAGGGAATCAGATGAAATCCACAGAAAGGTGCCCAGTGTCCCACCCAGGACACCTCCGCTGGACTTCTGATCCCCAGGGGTGAAGATGTCCTCCTTTTTTGTTCCCCTTAGAACATATCTGGAAAAAGATTTAAGGAATGTATCAGCTCAGTCAGTGCTAAAAACGAAATAGAATTTCATGCCTTTGATAACGTAGAAATCTTCAGTGTAGTTTTTAATAGCATTTTATTGAATTCTTATCCTGTGTTGTGTCCTTAAAAGGAGCTGTTTATTTATACAGCCTCATTTACACCTCATAATAGCTCGTGATCCCCATTTTATAGGAGAGTAAGGCTCAGAGAGGTAAGTGGCTTTCTCAAGGCCACACAGCTCTGAGCATCAGGCTACTGAGTCTGGAGCCTGGGTCAGCGTGGGTAGACTTGCTGCCGGGACTCTGTGCAAATGGTGTGAGAGTTTTAAGTGCAGGTAAATTAAGCTGATACGGTGTCACCGTAGCCAGTGAGACTGCCTCTGGGGTGACTGTGAACATAGTTTGCTGAGCACCTGCTAGGGCGCCAGTGGCTGGGGAACGAAGGAGGGGCTCTGAGGGTACTGAGGGCACTTCTGCAGGTCCACCTGGCGTGGTCCACAGTGCGGGGCTGTGGCCGCAGGGGTGCTTGCGTCTGCGCGTCTTCCCAAGCTTGACCCCAGGAGAAACTCCACGCGTGGCCCTGAAAGAGACCCCTGGTCTCTTGCTGTTACTGCCACGTAAGGAGTGTGTTTGAAAACCAGGTAGCAAGAGTGCATGTGGGTGATGCCGCATGCAGAAGGTATGATCCCGAATTAATGTTTCACGGGCCTGTGGCCGAGAGGAGATTAGTTCATATCAGAGAGAGGAATGAAGTCGTGTTTTATTACCCGAGGACAAAGTACCCTCATCCATTAGCTTCCCAGGAAGGTGGCCAGGACGTCAGGTTCCAAAGAGCAGCGGGGCTATCCTGTGGCCCTTGGGTGGCTGTGTCCTGCCGGGACCCCCTTTGGTGGAAGCCTGGGCCCGTGGTGCTGGCTTCTGGTGTTCAGCCCAACAGATGCTCATGTTTATAGAGCTAGTGACTTTTCCTTGCTGTACTCTGCTGAAGGACCTTTTCTGGACTGGGCTATTGTTTCTTCTCCACAGGTACCTGCACCAGTCAGGGGCCCTGACCGTGGAGGCCCTACAGGACCCTGCCCCAGACCCCGTGGAGGGCATGGAAGAGGACATTGCTGATAAGGTAGGCCCTGGACCACCTGCAGATGGCACAGCCAGGTCTGAGGACATGCGACGGTGCTGCCGCCTTAGGATGCAGGCCATGCTGGGGTGGGGGGGTGCCAGCCTCATCAGAGGCCCCAGTGACTGTGCAGTGGAAGGAGCGTTTCCCGTTGTGCATGGAGAGGCCGGTTGTCAGCCGTATCTGTCTGTGGGCCCATCTGGCTGCACCGACGCGCAGGGACTCTGTTCGCCTGACTCCTGGAGGCAGAATCTGGGGGTGCTCGAGGTTTCAGGGTGGTGACCACAGAGCCAGACAACGTGTGGAGTCAGAGTTCCCAGAGAGTCCGTGTGGGGGGTTCCTTGGGGCAGGACAGCCATGCTGTGGAAGCGACCCCAAGTTTCTCAAGGGCCAGCTCAGCCAGAAATGAGGAGGAGTGGCACAATACCCGCAGCTCTTCCCGGGTCCCTGCTTGCTTCCTCCGTGAGCTGGACGGACCTCGGTCCCACCCAGTGGACACCGCCTCCTGATTCTGAAGCCCCTGTGTCACTCTCGAGGTCGTCTTCCTGGAGAAACGGGTGTCGGAGCTGGAGAAGGACACGGCTGCCAGCGGGGAGCAGCACAGCCGGCTGCGGCAGGAGAACCTCCAGCTCGTGCACAGGTGAGGAGGGCGTCCGTGGCCCTGGCTGCCTGTCCGCGTGTGCCCCCGCAACCCCCTTGCTGCCACGACGTGGCTCACACGTGGAAGTGCCCCTCCACCAGCCACCGGGAGCCCGGTCAGGGGATGGTGCCAGCGGCCTCCCGAGCGCGGTTCCCACTTAGTGCTGCCCCCGCCCCCCGGCGTGTGGCCGGCCCCAGGGGAGACCAAAGGGAGGCACCAGCTCACGTCTCAGAAGTATGGCGGCCAGCACCCAAGCTGCCTGCGCAGAGTGTCCGGGAGAGGCTGGCAGAGGCGGAGGTTGCATGTGGAGAGTCATGGAACTCTCTGGTAGGGTCCCCGATGTGTGTCCCCGCTTCCGAGAACCTGTCCTGGCCCAGATATGCCTGGAGATGGGCTTGCTGCTCTGTGACTGTTGCTGTGCTTGGTGCACCCGTATCGTCCCCTCTGCCGTGTCCTGTGAGGCAGATGCCACCTAATGTGCCATCTCGCAGGCGAGGACACTGAGGCACAGGCCGTCGTCAGAGCCGGCCAGCGGGGCCAGGAAGGGTAGGGCCTCCAGAGCTCCTGCACCGGGGAGCTGGACCCACCCTGGAGCACGCGGGCTCTAGCGGGGACGGGAGGAGAGCGGGAGCCACCGGCAGACGGGATGCACAGTCTGGCTCAGCTGGGCATCCGCGCCGAGCTCCCCCACCGTTGTTTTGTCTGCATTTGGGAGCCACTCCTGCCATGTAGCCTCACGCCCAGTACAAGGGAAGACGCGTCTCCTGCAGCATAGGAGTTTGGCTCAGGAGCGTCGGCTTCCTGGGCTGTGCCTGCATGCAGCTGGGTGTCACGGGGACACAAACAGCATTGTGGGGACGAGACAGTGTGGGGGGGCCCTGGAGGCGGGGGGAAGGCTGGAGGCTCTTTCCTCACCGGGCGGCCTGGACCTGGGCCCGGGCCTGAGCCTGGCTCTGCCACACACTCTGTGATCTCAGGCTCCTCTGAGTAGGTGTTGTGAGTGCCCCCAATGGCAGGACACGGGCCCACGTGCACTCACGGCTCCAGGGGATGCTTGGCCCCTGCCGTGATATGTTCATCCTGGAAGGCACCGACCTTCCCCACCCGTCCTCCGGTCTCCTCTTTGGATGCTGAGAATTAGAACGAGTCGTGTTACTGCACACGTACTCCGTATGTCACTTTAACAGTAGAAACAGGTTCCCTACGTAGTCGAGGGCCTGGGCTGGGCAGCTGCACGCCCTCCAGGCTCTCACGGGAGGGTCTGCCCGTGGCCTTGCCGCAGAGCTGGGTGGGGTCGGCACGCTCGTGGAGGGGCTTGGTTCCAGTGCTGCACAGAGCATCTGCCACATCTCTGGAGGCGCGTGTTCTCCCTCCTTGTTCGCGTCCAGAGGGACGTGGATGGGCCACTGCACTCATTTCTCAAGCTGACCGGTGAGGCTTCATTTGATCTGATGACACTTATCAGTTATCCACGTATGGAGTGGAAAGTCCACGTGCTGTGCCCCGGGGCTTGCCACGTCCAAACCCGTGGTATTTCTTTAGGTGTTGCCTGAGCTCTCCTAAAAACAGCATGCTTCTGCTGCCTTTCCCGCTGTCCCAGCGACCCCACCCCACGCAGGTTCTGGTGCTCAGCTTCGTACTTTCTGGATCACCACCCCGGATGATCACCTGGGGCGGGCGGAGAGAAGCAGGTTCTGTGAGGCCTCGTGTGTCTGCAACGTGCGTGTCCGCTGCCAGTGTGACTGGGTCTGGAGTTGTTCCAAAGCAGGGTTGTCCGGGACCTGGCAGGCAGGCTCTGGGCCTTCTGACCACACTGTGACTTGCAAGCCTGGCGCTCCTGTTCTTCCTGCCCTCTGTGGGGTCTGAGTTCTCTGCCTGGATGCCGGAAGGGTCTCGTTTCCTGTGCTGGCACGTGGTTTCCAACCTTTAAATCTGGAAGCTGTGCCTCCGCTTTGGGAAGGTTTCTAGAATTATTTCTCTGCACGGCTTGTTCCATTTTCTTATTTGTCTGAACTTCTGTTAATCTAACGTTAGACCTTCTGGACTTTCTCATTTTCTTTACTTTTCTATTCTCTTTGTCATTTCCGTCTTTTAAAATTCTAATATCCTTGTTCTTCTTCTTCAGCTCTCCTGTTGAATTTAAAATTTTTTCTTCTCATGTTTTTAATTTCTGAGAATCACTTTGTAAATTCCCTTCTGGTGTCCTGTTCCTGTTTCCCGGAAGCAGTGTCTTTGCTCTGAGGCCTGGGTTACAGGGCTTTCTCCTGCGTGAGGTCCTTTTTCTCTGTTTGCTTTGGCCACTTTGTGTCAACACCTTTCCCATGGTGTCTGGTGATCTTGGGCTCTCCGTTCACTCTTACGTGTGAGGCACCCCGAGGAGGTTGAGAAGCCCTGTGTGCATCGACAGCTTGTGGATGTGGGCTCCATGAGCAGGGCCCCGAGCCCTTCTCTCTGGGATGGGCATTCCCTGCTTCCTGCACGTGGGCGTGGTGGTCTGGGAAGGTGCCGGGGTCAGGGCCCCCATGTGCACGTTTCCTTTGTCTCAGGTTACTGCTAACACCCACCCGTGCCTCTCCCATGGGTGACCTGGGTGCTCAGCCTACAGTGTCCGTGCAGGGTGCTCCCGGGGGCGGACACCTGGTGGGCTCGTGCCCCTGGGAGGGTCTCCCGGCCACACGCCGAGTGAGCTTCCCGAGAGCGCTGGAGACCGTCCCTGCTGTCACAACTTTGCCACCATCTCGAGGCCCCGGGTGCGGGCATGGGAGGCCGAGGCTGTCTGGGGGATACGACCCCTCCTTCAGATCCATCCTTGACCAGAGCTGTTGGGGGGGTGGGGTCGTCTCTCTTTCTCTGCTGCCCCTCCTTCCCTTCGCCTTCACAGAGCCAATGCCCTTGAGGAGCAGCTGAAGGAGCAGGAGCTGAGAGCCTGTGAGATGGCGCTGGAGGAGGCGCGGAGGCACCGGGAGCTCGTGTGCAGGATGGAGCGGGAGCGCAGCATCGAGGTGGAGAGCCTGCAGGCCAGGTGGGGCGTGCAGCCCCGGTGGCTGCCCCTCCCAGCACATCCGGTGTCTTAGAATAAAGCCGATGTTAGAGAAAGGGAAAGCCCGCGCGAGGAAAGCTGTAAAAGTGCTCAGTGTCACAATTCAAAGACTGACCCTACGTGGATGTCCTTCTGAGTCCGTCTCTAGTTGGGGTTCTCCTAGTCAGAACTCCAGGCCTCTTGCAGACAACTTGACGCAGTGCCTTTGTGCTGCTCCGGAGGTAGGAACCTTTGAAGAGTCAGGAAAAGTGGGGAAAACAGCGTGGGTTTGCACGCCCTGCATGAGACAGCCTGTCAAGGCCCGGGAGCAGCAGCAGCCACCACGCGGGGTGTAGGCCGGACATGCGGCACATGCGTATGGTTGTCTCTGTGAGCGGGGGTCTTACAGCGTTGGGGAGAGAGAGCCCGCGTGTCCGTCAGCGGAGAAATGCTTGAACAGGCCGTCTGAGAGCTCCCCAGAGGTCCTCCCCAAGGTCAGAGAGAGCGAGGGCATCTGATGGCTCATTTCATAGCTGAGCCGGAGCCACTTCCCGAATTCGGGACACAGCAGGTGTAACTAGATGAGTGGGTTTCCAGGCTCTGCAGCCCGAGTGTCCCTCCCCCACTCCTAATGCTGGGGTGCATTGGACTTTACTGGAGAAGAGCTCCTGTGCGTTTTTAAGAGTAGGGGTGCAGGAGGGGCTGCGTGCAGGGCTGTGCCAGCCACCTGGACACGAGGCCCCCTGGCATGTAGACACAGTGGGGTGCTGCTCTGGGTTCAGCCGGGCCCAGATTCCAGCTTCCAGAGGACAGAGAAGGGACGGGAAAATGCACCCGACACAGGACACACCCGGAAACACACCTTCACCAGGCGATCCAGGTCAGCATCACCTGCGGGGAGTCGTGAGGACTCAGACACCCGATCTGGTGACGAGAAGGGCACCTCCCCCCCAATGACCCGTCTCATCACGAGAAACACCAGATCGGCCCAGCGTGAGGGACACTACCAAATAAGTGACCAGAACTGCTCAGAACGGTCAAGGCCACGAAAAGTCAGGAAAGGCTGGGAGACTGCCACAGACCCCAGGGGACAAAGCAGACGAGGCAGCGTGTGCAGTGTGGCCCAGAGACTGGAGGGCACGATTGGGAGATGACATGAAGTCCATGGTTTGATGACTAGTATACCCCGCAGGGCTGTGGTAAAGGCGCCACGTGACCACATGACGGGCAGATGCCATGCAGGAAGCAGTACTGGCCAGGCCCACAGGGACTCCACGCCATGTCTGCAACTTTTCTGTAAACCCCAAAGTATCCCCAACCCCAAGGGTATTTTTTTTAATGTTTGTTTAATTTTGAGAGAGAGAGAGGCAGAGCACAAGTGGGGGAGGGGCAGAGAGAGAGGGAGACACAGAATCAGAAGCAGGCTCCAGGCTCTGAGCTGTCAGCACAGAGCCAGACATGGGAGCTTGAACTCGTGAACTGTGAGATGATGACCCAAATTCGGGTGCTCCACCGACTGAGCCCCTGACCCCCCAAGTGTATTTAATAACTATCCCAGCGTAAGGGAAAGCTTGGGCCCAGAGCACTTGAGTGGTACGTAGGGTCGGAGCATCTGAGGAGGCCTCTGTGGCTCCCTAGGCAGCTCCTGGCAGGGCTGCCAAGACACTGGGTCTCCCTTGCCCCAAGGAGCCACGTTTCCTGGGTTGAAGTCCCAGCTTTGTTCTTGTGTCCCAGGCTGCAGCAGCTAGATGAGGAGAACGGAGAGCTAAGGTCCTGCACGCCGTGTCTGAAGGCCAACATTGAGCGCTTGGAAGAGGTGAGCGGTCAGTGGGGAGCACAGAGTGGGCGGAGCCCAGCCCTGTCACACGTGGATACGCGGTCAGCCAGGCCGGCTCACGGGCCTGCCACCCTCTGCACCTCATGGGTCCTCTGAAGCGAGGCAGCCACATGGCCAGCCACGGGGTGTGACCAGAGGCCAGGAAGCTATGCTGCTCTGTAGCGCAAGCTGTTACCCTGGGCCCACCGGCCCCATATGATGAGGACAAGGACAGCTCGGTCCCCGCCTGGCTTCCCAGCTTTCTCACGGATCCAAGAGTTCAGTTTAGATGAACCCATGGTCCGAATCCAGGGATGATGTCCTCCAGGGGCTGACTCCAGCTGGACCCCTCGTGCCCTGTCCTGCAGCTGTTCACTCGAGAAGCCTCTCCTCCCCTCCTCTCCCCTCCCGGTCACATGTCCCCTGGGAAGCTCCGAACCCGGAGAACATCTAAGACCACCTGGGCTCTGACTTCCCCTGAACTATTCCCTCTGGGCAGCCGTGGGTCAGATCCTGCTCTTGCATGGATCCTTTCTGCCCTGCCTCGCCTGAGGAACAGTGTCTGTGGCCTGTGCAGACACCCTGCGCCAAGAGCACCCCAGGCGCACCTGCAGGCGCGGTGCTCGGGGTCAGCACTGCCCCGGGAGCACCATGCCCGGGTGATGGGATGGCTGAGACGCAGCCATTGTGGGCTGAGCCCGGGGGCCACAGAAGACTCGGGAAAGCTGTGTGGTTGGGGCAGCAGGCAGGCTTATTTCCACAGGAGAAGCAGAAGTTGCTGGATGAGATGGAAGAGTTATCCCTGCGGCTCAGTGATGAGCAGGAGAACAGGAGGAAGCTGGGGGACAGGCTGAGCCACGAGAGGCACCAGTTCCAGAGGGACAAGGAGGCAACCCAGGAGGTGAGCGTGGCACCCGGTAGGGGTGGGACCTGCGTCCCTGCGTGGGGTCCGTGCCTGTGCCCTCCACATCCTGAGACCTGCAGCCGGCGGCCACGTGGTGCTGGGCGTGAGATGGTGTTTGGGAAGCGTGGCTGGCATTGTCTTCCCACGCGGACGTGGCGCTCGGACTGACTCAGAGGTTCTGAAGCTGAGGGCTGAGCTGGCACTTGCTGCCTCGGGTGCCCGAAGGCCTGCTCACCCTGTGGTTGCCTGCAGTTGATCGAGGACCTGCGCAAGCAGCTGGAGCACCTGCAGCTCTTCAAGCTGGAGGCCGAGCAGAGGAGGGGCCGGGGCAGCAGCATGGGTCTGCAGGAGTACAACAGCCGCACCCGCGAGAGCGAGCTGGAGCAGGAGGTCCGCAGGTTGAAGCAGGTGCGGGCAGCCACACCCCTGTATCCCTGCAGAAGCTTCCAGGAGCCCGGCATGGGGCAGGGGGCACGCAGGGAGCTGGTGCCCGAGCCAGAGGCCGCTCCAGCCACTCCCCGTACGGGCTCAGCCACTAGTGGGGGCCCCCCGCCCCGGGAGTGACCCTGTCGTGTCCCCTATTCAGGATAACCGTAACCTGAAGGAGCAGAATGATGAGCTCAATGGGCAGATCATCAACCTGAGCATCCAGGGTGCCAAGAACCTCTTCTCCACGTCCTTCTCAGAGTCCCTGGCTGCGGAGATCAGCTCCGTTTCCCGAGATGAGGTAAGGCCCATCCAGGCCCGGCCACCGGGATGTGCCACAGTCTGTGCACCAACCCAGCACTGACCGCTGCTCTTCCCACAGCTCATGGATGCGATTCAGAAGCAGGAGGAGATCAACTTCCGCCTGCAGGACTACATTGACCGGATCATCGTGGCCATCATGGAGACCAACCCATCCATCCTGGAGGTCAAGTAGAGGCAAGAAGGCCCAGCTCGGTGGGCCCAGGACCCCACCCGCACCCAGGAGATGGCCACGGCGCACACACAGCCGAGACAAGCAGCTAGGCTGGGGTGCATAGAAGGGTCTGCACAGGGAAGAGGAACAGGAGCTCCGGGGCCAGGGCCCACGCAGGAGAGGGTGGGGCTGGGCCTGCTCTCTGCAGAGATGTGGGGAGCACAGCTCAGGCGAACCCCTCTGCGAGCTCCCTCTCATGTGGCACACCTCTCTGCTGCCCTACTTGTCAGGGAAGAAAGGAAGGACTCGTCCCCACCGGGACACTGCCATCTGCATCTGCTCAGGGGCCTTCACCTGGATGGCACAGAGGCCCCAGGACCCTCTCACCAGACGTGGTGGCGTGGGAAGGACTGCCAGGCAAGGTGGTGCACATCAGGCTCTGGCCGGGAGCTGCAGGACCCCGGCTTTCCTGGGGCTGTGACTCTTGAGCTGCTCCGCCCAGCCACCCATCCAGAGAGGGCACCGCAGTCCAGCTTCAGACCCAGGGGCTCTGCAGCTGGCCACGCAGCTGTCCCCATGCCCCAAACCCTTGCTGCGGTAACGGGGCTGGGGCCGAGCCTCTGCTCCAAAATCAGGACTTGAGAGTCCCACCACATGGAGCATGCTCCCTGCACAGGGTGGGTCTCAGGGCCCCTCTGACTCCAGGTGTGGCAGCATCGTGGTGAGAAACTGCTTCCCCATGGGTGTGGTCCCCGGCCTCCTGGAGCCCTCCCCTCCCTGAGCACGTCTCAGCTGCTCTGGGTGAAGTCCCGGTCTCCCAGGCCAGAGTCCACATGTCTGGCACCACGTTTCCTCTGGGAGTTTGAAGTCGCTGAAGTGGCCATCCTTCCCTGAGCTGCATTTTGGAGGAGGCTGGGTGGTGCGGGTTCTCTAAGTACATAGATCTGGAGCAGAGAGCAAGGCCCTCCTGGCAGCTTGTGGGTTCCTTCAAGGAAGCCATTGCCTGGCTCTGTGCCACCACCACCAGGCACTGCACCACCATGGGGGCTGCTGGGCCTGCCCCCACCCTGCGCCTGAGCACTGTCCAGGAGCCTCTGGGTGCTCCAGGTGGGTCAAGACCCCACACACAGACTGGCCACTGCTGCGTGCAAGTGCGTATGTGAGGGCGTGCGTGTGTGTGTGTGTGTGTGTGTGTGTGTGCGTGTGCGCGCGCGCGTTGCCCTGTGTCCCTCCATCCTCCGTGTGGCCCACCTTCTACACTAAGATTTAAGATGTTGCCTCGTATTGTA